GACCTGTCCAGTCCACCAGCCTGCCTGGCCGAGCTGTCCGTGCCGCTTATGTATACTTCATTTGCTTACATTTTCCTCGCACTACGATAACTATCTCCTCGCTCTCTCCTCTCCCTCTCTTTCCTCACCCCTTCTCCCTCGAGTCTCCCTGCGACAGCTGCGCGGCACCCACGCCCCGCCCCGCCCCGGGCCCCGCCGCTCCGTCCAGATCGCTTTGTGCGATTACGCCTCACATTTCTGACGCGCGCGAAGAGGCCGTCCTCCCAACGGGACAGGTTAGGCTGCCTCCGCCTTCCCCTCCGGGCCAAACGTCTTTGTCGCGCTGTCACGTCATATGCTGCTGCTTCTTTACCTATCGTTCTTTACACCTATACGAGTTTTCACGCCTCTTGTTCCAAAAAGGGAAAAATACTTTTGTTTTTCTTATTTGCACTGGTGGCTTTTTCTTCGCGTGTCCCCATCACAGGTTTGCGTGCTCTTGTCTCACTCCGGAACACCACCTCGTCGTGTCATTAACTGGTGACCGGCGCTGTTTGCTCTTGTGGCTCTTGCGGCGATGATTCGCGCGCTTCGCGGCCCACAAATGACCCCCTCGTGGGCGTTGGGCGTTCCGGGCCGGTTTCACGTCGCAAAGTCAATAAGTGAAATTGTTTGTGAGATTTGTAGTGTGCGTGCGTGTGTGTGTGTTTCATTTGTCGGCGTGCGAGCCGCTCGCGCGCTATGCGCTGCCGCCTTCCTACGTCGGACAGGAGGCGGGAGGGGTGCAGATAGGTGTGATTTATACGGAGAGAGGCGAGGGCGTACGGGGCGCGGGCGGTCAGGCCCGGGTCAGGTCAGTCGCTGTTTAGAGAAAAGAAATGGCGGGCGTTTTATATGAGAGCGAGAAAAAAAAGCAGAGCAAGAAAGGAGAATTGGTAGAAAGGGGGGGGGGTGCCCTCCGCTCGCTTCGTCGTACCCATCTTTCCACGCTTTTCTAAGTGAAGGGGAAGGAGGGGGGGGGGCTGGTGGTGGTGGAGGTTGTAATCCCCTCTGTCCAGATTGATATTACTTTTATGTGACGGATCGGCGGGGCGGCGGGTGCGTGATCACTTGTTATTGCTGGGGATCAGAGAGGACCTGCGGGGCGGGGAGGGGAGAGAGGAAGGGGGTCGTGGGATTACCCCGCCAGCGGCTTACAAGGCGGCGGCCGTGACGACCCACTCGCGGGGCCGGGGGTGTGGCGGCGTCGCCCTCCGGCGCGCGAAACGGCGCCCAGTTTAAGTGGTAGTTGGGTCCGAGCCGCCGCCGCCGCCGCTGCTGCTGCTTGAGCCTGAGGGAGGGGGTGTAAGGGGGAAGGGGAGGGGAGGGGGGGGAGGCGTCCACCGCAAGCGCATTATTGAATGGGCCGGCTAATTCTCTAATGCCGGGCCTTGTTCGTTATTTGCTGGGGGAAGGGGGGTAACGAGGCCCTCTTGTTAGCCGCGTGTGTGTGTTTGGGGGGGGGGGGTTATGTATATACGATTGATTAGTTCTGTATCTCCGGCCAGGGCAGCAGCCGGCCACGTAGTAACACTGCCGGCCCGCGCGTTCAGCAGGCTCGCCGCAAAATTGAGTTAATTTCGGCGCAACAAACCTGCAGGCAGTGTGTTTATATCTCGCCCTTGCTGCCCGCTGTTTCCCCGCCGCGTTCGCTCTCTCTGCCACCTCCCCCTCCCCCCTCACACACACACGCGCACAGACTGGGGGGCGCGGGAGGGAGGAAAAGTAAAATGGGGTGGGGTGCGGGCAAGGGGTACATGCAGGGGGTGACATTGCCCCCCGCCACGCCCTGCCCCGCGGTGGCATGTTTCCGTTTGCTGGGGATTTGGGGTTAATTACGATTGTTTGCGTGGCTCTGGCCCGCCTCTGCGCGCGGCTCTGTGCAAGATGAACAGCCCGGCTTTCTGCCCCCCGCCACGCCCCGCCACGCCTAGCCACGCACAGCCACGCCCAGCCGGAGGAGCTTTCCCATCCCATATCCACGACGCCGTGCTGTCGTGTGGCTGTGGCTGTGTTCGCCGTGAATAAGAGTTTGAACAAATTTCGCAGGTCCCAGGAAAGAACAACTTCCTTAATTTTTTGTGCGATTGGTAAAAATGATGTCCGTTAATATTGAATGGGTTTCTGAAACACAAAGGAATTGTTGTTAAATTTGAGAATCGCCGAACAGGCGTGGCGCCGCGTGGCGCGCTCGGCCGCTCGCCGGGCGGGGTAGGCAGCCCTCTTGCGCGCGCGGCTTGCGGGCCTGCCTACGGCCGCGCCCCGCCCCGCCCCGCCGCGCCCTGAGGGTGCTGTAGTACAGGCGCATGCCGATGGTCAGCCGCATAGGAGTCTCCCTCTCGGGCTTCACCCCTCCCTCCCTCCCTCCCTACAGGCGCA